ATTCTTTTTTAAATGTAATGAAGCTATAAATAAATAAATATGTAAAGAAATTGATGTAAACCTAAAACAAAAAAATGTATGCATACATACATAATAAATAAGTCTCACACGCGATATTTACATAATCTTGACAAAGCTGGCTCTGCTTGAATGCCCATGTGCATACTCAACAGATCGGATATATTGGATGAGTGCATAAGTTCATGCCCGATTCCGCTGGATGCCGTTCGAATTGCTTGAGAGTGGCGCTCGTGAAAGAAATATATACATATTATATATCGTTGGAAAGGTGATAGGCCGAACTGTAAATCAAGCATAAAATAACTTCATTTTGATTCGAGTTGCTTACTGAAAAGACGCATGGAAGATGGACAACGAAAAAGATCATATGCGTCATATTATGTTATACGAATTCCACAAAGGAAAAACAGTAGGCGCTGCAACTAAAGATATTGGCGAAGTTTATTTGTACCGTGCTCCAGCACTCGGCACAGTAAAGAAATTGTTCGCGAAATTTCGTTCTGGAGATTTTAACCCCGAAGATCAATCTCGCAGTGGACGGCCTTCTGAGCTTGATGACGATGTTCTAAGGACTTTAGTTGCGAATAACTCACGTATTTCGACGGAAGAGGTTGCCAGTGAATTGAACGTCAACAAATCAACTGCGTTTCGTCGTTTAAAAAAGGTTGGGTACACTTTGAAGCTCGATACATGGGTGCCACATCAGTTGAGTGAAAAAAAACAAAGTGGACCGTATGTCAACAGCAATTTCCTTGCTTTGACGGATCAAAAACGAACCTTTTTTGGTGACTGGTGATGAAAAATGGATCCTGTACAACAATGTACGCAAAAGAACATGGAAACAGCGGAAAGGTGGATTGCATCCGATTAAGGTACTGCTGTGCATTTGGTGGCGAGGCGTGATCTATTTTGAGCTCTTGCCAGCTGGAGAAACGATCACTGCCAACAAGTATTGTCAGCAATTGGTCGAATTGAAGAAAGCAATTGATGAAAAACGTGCGATTTTGGCTAATCGCAAAGGAGTTCTTTTCCAACATGACAGCGCCAGGCCACATGTTGCAAAACCGACCCTGGCCAAACTGAAGGAGATGAATTGGGAAATCATGCCGCATCCCCCATATTCACCCGACATTGCACCTTCTGATTATCATTTGTTTCGATCGCTGCAGAACAATTTGAATGGAAAAAAATTTAAAAATGTGGAAGACGTCAAAAACCACCTTGACACCTTTTTCAACGCGAAACCGCGCGATTTGTATGAATCAGGCATCCGTAAATTGGTTGAACGTTGGAAGTGGAGTGATTGATTAATAAAAGCGCTCTCTTCAAAAAATTTCAATTTTAGTTTGCATTTGAAATCGGGCACGAACTTATGCACTCATCCAATATAATGTGAAAAAATGTAAAATTCAAAACGGAAATAGTCAATTTTATACCTTTAAGAGACGAATATATTAGTGTTTAAGACCCAGGCTACACTACAATAGACATCAAGTTCTCAAGAAGATGGTACTGTAGCTAAACCCGCAGGCAAGTTGAGTTTTGAATTTGTACCTACTTTTACCAGGTGTGCCTACTTTCCATTTTGGTTACCGTGAGATGTTTTTACTTCACTTCCGAGAGGCTTAGTGGCTTAATTTTACCAATATTGAGAACTTGAAGGGTACATTTAAGATTTCCTACGACTTAACACAGTGGTATATTTTCATACACAGATTCTTTAAAAATAGGCTTGTAGCAGTTCAGCTGAAAATGTGAATGGTGTTTTAGGTCTTTTGGTTTCCTTGCTCCGTTAATTTTTATATAAAAGATGCTCCAAGGTGTAGAAGGCCAATTGTCATGAACGTCTTGCGAGCACTGTATCAATTGTCCAGGAGTTAAACATTACACAAAAAAGAGTATGATATCACTTGAGCAAGGCAGCATACACAAAGAAGCTCGACGGATGGATGCCATGAGTTATGGGGAAAAAACTTCATGTACCGAATTTTCAATCTGCGAATCGCTGCTGAATCTTAGCATAATCGACACATTTCCGATGCGCAGGGTGACTGGCAGTGTGCGGGCACAAATGGTATCCAATGTAATCGGCAAGGCATCATCCACTATTAGCCAATCCTCTACGTCCAAGCTCACAAATCGTCCGTCTGAAGGAAACAAACGCCCAGAAACCAGAAACGCCCAGCTTTGGCCAACACGAAAGGCAGTGTGATTCATCAGGACAGGCCATCAGATCACACACACCCCTAGTGATACGCCAGTAGCCCACGAGAGTTTGGTGAAAAGGTTCCTATGCATCCAACTCTTAGTTCGGAATTCACACCAAATGATATCCATGTGATTCCTGTCTATGGCGTTTGATTTGACTGGTGAAGAGGTACCGATTGTCACAATTTTTAGCCAAAAGGAATCAGCATTTCTATAAGACATAGACTTTAGTGACTTTACCTTCAAGATGGCAAACAGTTATCGAACAAAACGGTGCATATTTGACATTAGTCGAATAATTCCAATTAAAGTAAATAAAGCCGTGAATTTAATGCAAAAATAATGACTAATATTTTACTAGACCGCCACGAACCACGGTGGTTAGAGGTCATTGCATCATCATCTACCCTTCATTATTACAATATGTTTAGAAGTTATTGGAAACTCAACAAATCACTGGACCAAAAAGTGTTATCCTCTGGAGGAGCTTAAAATTGGCGAAACTTTGACGCCTCCTTGTAAAATTATTTTACCACCACTTCATATAAAACCGATATTAACGTGTGGTCATTTCCAGAAAAGGAAAATTGCTATATCAAAGTTTCCAGGCCTCATAGCGGCAGAGTTAAACAGGAAGTATGACCGAGTTCCTGGTATGCATCTTGATGTTTTTCCAACAAATGGAGGGACCTACAGTATATTCGGAGCCGCCTCCAAACGGTCAATGGATTTTTTGTGGGAAGCTTTATATTTTTTTTAACGGAGGGCTGTTCTTTCCCTGTCGAGGAACGACCGCAATTAGAAAAATTAAATTTCTCCAATTTTCAGACGTATTTCAGATCAGGGCTTAAATCTTGGTCTACCGAATGTTAGTTTGCAATGCTGGCCACTCGGCTGAAGCCATTTCGCTCAGATATGGATTTCAGTGTTATTTGATCGATCCTCTTCACATCGTTCCTAACATAAATGACATAGATATTGACTTCCCTTCAGCTTCCTCAAAAGATATTTCATTGCAGAAAATATTCCTATGGCCAGCAACTCAGATTATTGAGATTTCGAGTTTAGATGCCGACCAGTTTAAAGCCATCCTCCAATTATAGATATCGCTGGAGTTAAGGTAAGGTAAAAGAGATAAGATAAAACCAACAAACAAAAGCGAAGCCAACATGAGAAGGTTTCATAGGCCCTGAGTGACAGGGCGAGAGTACGAGCTGCTCGAATCTCTGAAGATTTCTTACCTACAGTGTGAAATAATTTTAAGATAACGAACAACAATGATGCCAAAAAAGACTAGGATGTAAGCAAAAGAGCGCCAGGGTCACTCAATCAATACCTGGTCAGCTCGCGACGTCCATACAAGTACGGTAAAGCGTGTGTTATGACCATGAAAATCCTCCTTAGAGGAGAGTGTTCTCTTAACATCGATCAGATTTGTCTGGTTAGGTGTTATGTGGTTTCACCCTGTCTTCTGCTGTCGACACTACTAGTGCAACCCGACTATAGCAGGTACTTAACCGAGTAACAAAGTTTGCTTACATCATCTACAAACTTTACAGTGGTTTAAGACTGTCTCCCTTTTAGCGCTGGGTCTCAGATTTCCCTGGAAGGGAAGCTACTTACTTTTCACAAAATGAATATCTGCTCCCTGTGAAATTGGTATTATAGTCTAGTAAATATATTTGAGAGAGGACTTTACTTTTTAGTTGCCCGTCCTGTCTAAAGTCGCAGTTGAATGGTTCTAACACTGATTTTTTGGGATAATCAGGCAGCAATGAAATCAGAAACAGTAGAGTAGGGAGTCACTTAACGTGAGGGCTAAACAGTATTCTCAGCACTTGGTATGTCCACCAGAGCACCTTAACATAACGGGTAACTAGATGGCGTACGAGCTACCAAGAAAAGTCACTTCGCATCTACTTTCATCATATTGGAAGGGTCTGAGCATGCCGCTCTCCATTCACCATGAGAAAGTTTTTGATCGCAATTGCTAACTCACGAAGCATCAGTCCCAACTGTTGACAAGTGTGGGGCCCGACATGAAATAAAGGAAAGTCGATTGGTCTTCTTACGGAACATCTTCTAAGGGGTAGGCAAATAGAGAGGCCTTCAAATGACTTCTGCATGAGTTGTATAGAGGAGAAGGTGCTGAAAGACTTAAGACACTTCCTTTGCGAATGCTTCAGCGAAGGAGTAGGCTAAAATCTCTGTACAATCTTTAGTAAAATAGCGTGTGTTTTGTTTTGCAAACTCCTCAGGGTTTGACTAGCGATATTGGGATCCTAGTGTTATCACAATTGGATTGTTTGATGGCCTATCTATAGCTAAGATAGCCCAGCAGCCAGTTCGACCTAACTTAACCTAGTGCTAATACCAAGATAAGACGAAATTAACTACGCCTTCCTTATTATGACTGTTGAAAGTAACGTGGAAGCCAAGACGAGAATGCAATGACGGTTTGTTTGATGGTAGGAGATATGCCGGTTTGTCTTTGTTCACTATCAAATCCATTCGACTCACTCCCTATTCAGTCGGGATAAAGCAAAACAACTCTATTGAATTTTTTTTATTTTCGGTGCATGTCTTCTAATAATAAACTCATAGTTAGAATAGCTTATTCTGTAAATGAATTGATTTTGAGATGAAAGTCTTTTTTTTTTTTTTTTTTTTTAGGGTGCACTGAGACCCGAGAGGGTGGGGGCGCCTAATTGGGCAATCAAATAATATTGCGTCTTTTATATGATATTAATTTGATGGGGTTTGTCAATTACCTACTAAATATGTAAGTACATACATACATACAGATGTATCTACTTTTCTTGAAGGTTATCTGACAACAAGCACGCACTCACTGTTTACGTCGCCGCCGAAATGCGTTGTTGTTATTTTTCGCGCGCCGCACTAAACTTCGAGTATTTGTTTGTATTGATGGGGATTTTCTTCGCCTTAAAGACTTGTCGTTGTTTTGTGCGCGCACGTTTTTATTCTTTTCAATGCAAAATTTAGCGCAACGTGGTTTTCGAAAAAGTATTTATGCGAACGGAAATGTTTCGGATTTTTTTTTATTTTTTTTTAATTTAATTTTTTAATTTCATTTTCTACTTGTACAATTTTACAGTAAACACACACACACTAGGGATAGACATGCATATATACATACATATATATATGTGCATGTATGGTTAAATGTCTGTATGTATGTAATGTAAGATAGAATTGAATAACTAGTAAACAATGTATGCCTTTACACTCGAAAGGTTTTGCTCTTCCGTTTGCCGCATTCACACTTTTACGGCATAAATTTGCACAATTTTCCCTTCGAATCGAATTGACTATTCAATTGGATTGTATTCAATTCAAATGTGAAAAATCGAAACGTAATTTACACTGTGAAAACGCCGCTATACAAATAAAAAAAAAACACACCAGAATAAAATCGGCAAATAGTATTTCTCGCTTTTTGATTAGCTAATTTGGATTTTTTTTCATATGCGGATCAAACGACGTGTACGGGATATTCACATTCATTCACGTCGAACATGTGACGAACAACTGATGGACGAACGAAGACGTTTTCGATACGAAAGCGGCTAGCATTGCCGAAATACAAATACGGTTCGTTGCTTCTAGCCAAACGTTGCCAACCTCTGACACGCTCTACAAGCTCAGCACAAATGTACAATACAAAGGCATAAGCGGGAAGGGTAGGGAAGGAATGTTGACTCTCTGCTGGCAGTAAGTAAGCTACCAAACAAAATTATATTATATTAGCGCGAAGAAAAAGCAAGAAAGGCATACATACATACATACATACCCACATACATACATAGGTGATTATAGTCCTACACACCTAAATCTGTGCAGTACATACGAACAAAAATGAGTAAACAAAAATAAACAAGTACATACGTGTATGTATGTATCTATAGAGATTCATATACACATGTATATGTAGGGTTATCCATTTCGTGGTTTCGAAAGTGTAGTGCTGTATTTTGACATCTGTCAAATTTAACTGTCAAACTTAACTGTCAAACTTAACTGTCAAACCAAACATCTTTTGTTGGATCGCTAAAAGCAGTAGTCTGCTTGAGAGGCTTGAAAAATGCATTTTTTTGCTTTAATCTATTCTAAAACTATCTAAGAACATACCTATATATAATCAAAATTTCAATGACCATTTCGACATACTTTGGAGCTTAGAACAGTTTCAGCGGCCGAGTTCGAGTGCTTGGGCAGAATTTTTGAACGATAGTTTGATTTAAACAATATTTTTTGCAACTTGAAGCGGTTTTTTTCTTTCAAAAATGATTTTTTTTAATCTTCAAAAAAATTAGTCATTTTCCAATTTCTTCGGTATTTTTTTTTAAGTGCATATAGAAGAGACACTTATAAAACTAAAAAAAAAATTGTTTCAACTACTTCAGATGCATCACACGACCTCTATTCCGGCACCGTTCCACAAGTTCAGACTGCAGCCGCTTTAGAAAACTTATCACAGGATTGGAAAATTTCCATATTATTTGATACCAAAAATTGTTTTTTGAAGTTTAAATGTAGTAAATTGTTGCCTAAAAATTTCGTTTACCGCAAATAAAAATTTCTGAAAAACCCCTTTTTCCCCTTTTTGCCTTAAGCCCGCACAGCGCGTTAAATTTATTAAAACCTATTAAAAAAATTGCAGAGACTGAAACGATTACATATATTGTAGGGGCTGCACATGATCGTTTTGCTCATTTCACCTCAAAAATCGGTGCTGTGAGTAAATATGTAGTCGAAGAACCGAATGTGTCTTTTCTTCAAAGTTTTCTTCAGCGACAAAGCACAGTTTTGTTATTGGAGTCTATATATATTTAATTGCCGCTGAAGCGATTTTCGGTCGAGCTCCTCTACTAATTTGTGGCTCTGCATTTTGACGTTTTTCCAAGAAATGGAGAGACCTAGAGTTCCGCCTTGTTTTTTTATGAGGAGCTTTTATTATATAGTAATAAATTACCTCTGAGGGGTTGACTTCCACTGCCGAGGGGCGACTCAACTTACCCGCCGAGAGTGCGATTCAACCTTACTTCTTTGAAAACCGGCAACGGCGAGATCGTCACAATCAAGCGATGGAACACCGTTGCAGTTTTTATGTAGGGCTACGCGAAAGACCGTATTTATGAGTATTAACCCTTAACTCTTGAGCACTTGAAAACCGATATTCGTCGAAGTATGCCTAACATACAATATGTACCAAAAAGCGATCGGTAATTACCTCAAACGGATCGAAGTTTGCGTAATTACGCGAGGCAATCATTTGAACGATGTCGTGTTTTACATGCAATGTCAAGGCTCAAATTTTCTAATAGAAAAGGAATTTCATAAAAAAAATATTTTAAATGCCTTTTATTTACGTTAATTTTTTGAAACAGCAAAATGAATAACCCTTCACATAAGTATATAACAAAAGTCTACTTGAAGACATCGCAAAAATTAAAAGAACACAAGTCTGACTGGCAATTCACAGTGACCATAGTAGACAGACGGACAGTAGCATTTAGTAAGTGTACAAATGAAAATTAGCAATTGTGCCGTAAGGGCAAATACAATTCAAAAATCACGCCAACACTAACTAATACCAGCATCTAAAGAAATCAGCTGTCGTGTAAGAGCAAAACAAAAACTATTACTGCTCGCTACGAGACGCGGCGAGGAGGGAGCAGTGACGGAGACAGCTGAATTTTTCATACATATAACGACATAGATAAGAAAACGAACTGGCACATATCACCGAAGAAAGGTAAGATTTTAGCATAGAATGCCTACCAGCTGGCTGTGACTTTCCGTAAAGAATGAAAGAGAGCGAGAGAGAGACAACTTCGAGATAGATCAGCTGTTGGCTCTATATTATTAATTAAATACAGACGAGTAAGAAAGTAAATTAAAGGCGGAGAGAAGAGAAAAGTTAACTTGCGATGCGACTCTCTCTCTCTCTTAAAGAGATTTCGAAGCAAAAAAATTGTAATTAAAAAAAAAAAAACTGGAAAAGTTGCCAGCATTTATTTAAAACTTAGTTTGATGCGTCCCAAGATGAATGAGTTTACTTTGTTTATCTCCAACGAATAACAGAAAATGGGGGATATAATTTTTGAGGAGTCTTAAGTTTCGCTAGAGCTCAAGTATTTTTATCCACGGGCGACGGGTAACTGGTGCAGATCTCAGCTTTTCAATAGCTTTAGTAGCCTACCTAATCAGTCAGTGAGTTATTAAGGCTGCTCGATCACACAAACCCTGTTGTGTTGTTGTTGTAACCGCAGAAATATCCCCTAAAGTACTTTTTAGGGAATGTTGCGGGAGTGTCAGTCCTTGGCCGGATAAAAATCCGGCTAAAATTTGACCTCTTGAAACTGCTATTAAAAGCATAACCTAAGTGAAATAAATTTATAACCGTTAAGCACCTGCCTTCGTGCTTTTCACTATGATGCCTTTAGAAAGATTGGGAAAAATTCTTGTCTGGAATTCTGACTATTATTTCATTGGATCTCTACTTCACTGCCAGGATACAGGGACATCCCAGGCAATTGCATGGTGGACGAACCAGCAAGGAAAGGAACCCTTCTACCCACGATATAGCATACACACGATGCTGGTTTACATCTCTCCACCGCAAGGCACATGCTTAAACTGGCTTTTACCAGAGAAGCTGACTCAAGATGGCTGAACGAGATCACGTGTAACGTGACCAAACAGCTATGGCTGAAGCTGGACGCGAAAGAATCCAAACATGTTATCCTTCTAGACCGGTTCTCCATTAGCAAAGAATGGGAAATCATTCTAATGATTTTTGTCGCAGCTGCAGGGATGAAGAAGAGGAGGAGATCATTGAGACCTCTGTCACTGTCCCGCCTCAGCGAATATTGGAAATCTCGTTGCCTTTATAAAAGAAACACGAAATGGTTCAAATGGTTCGATCATCTGAGAAGGTGAAGGCAGGAGCCTCTCAGCGGTATCACAATGGGCCTAAGTACGTATAAGTTTGCTGGCATCAGCAGCCGCATCAACTCAACTCAACAGAACCATAGGATAGTAGGTCTAAGACTTCCGTCTGTGAGCTGCTCGAATCAGTTACTTTAAACAGTCATTTGGAAAGAAAACCCAAAGCAAAGAATAAAATAAATTAAGAATTCAAAGACGCTTTCTTAATTGAAGTGAATTTCAAAAACATGGCAACACTAACAAAGCAGCGTTTCATACGAAAAACGATCACGAACCGAGCGAAAAAGAGTGCTGCAAACACTCAGAGACACTGAAGAGGCACAGACAAAGCGCGAGAGGTACAAAAGAGAGATCTTGTCACGCAGTGTGCCGGAAAATACCACAGCAAAATTACTACGCAGGCAAAACAAAAAAAAAACACCTTGAATTTTGTCATACGGTTCAAGTGCGCAGATCGGCAATGAAAAAAAAAAGTGAAGAAAAAAAGTCGTTAAGAGTGGGTGTACGCTTTTTGGTGTCTCTTACATATGCAAATATATATGTATATATGTGTAGTTGAAATGTTGTTGTTATTAAATTAGTTATTATTAACGCAAACATTCAATTGGTACTTATAACTGGAGAATTGTAAATATTTAAAATAATTACTTTTAATTCATTTTTGTTTACACAAATTTCCGAATTTTTGTTCAATTAAAATACATATGCATGTATATACATACATATGCATCTCTGTAAGGGTATAAGCTTTTATCAATATATCGCACATTGTCGAGGGCGCACTTCCGCTAGAAACTGATCTAAAAAATAAAGAATCGTACAAAAAAAATACAATAAAAAAATAATAAAAGTTAAAGTATATACATACATAAATATATATATGTACGGAAACACTATTGTTTTCCTATCGACGCCAAAGCTTCCTGATCGAAATGAAGAGTGACAATTTTTTTTTGTACACGATTTAAGAATGCAGACAATTATCTGGTTGAGAAATACCGTAACCAACGATTTTCTTTGAAAAAAAAAATAAAAATAAAAAAATAAAAAATTAGCAAACCCTTTAGAAAACCGTCAGTTTGTAAAGGTCATAAACTGGGCTCTCTTTAGATCACCCTTTCGCTCGATTAAATGATTGGCTCTCTTTTCTACGCTGCGTTGAATACGAATATTCCGCCGAACAGCTCTTCTGGGACAATTGGAAATTGAACTTCATTACTCGCAACGCTGGCCTCGGCATGCGTGAGCTCTACTCTAACTGAGGAAGATTAGCACTGATATAGAAATACGTCATAATATGTAATAATTAACTTCTTGTTCTTCTTTAATGGTGTAGGCACCGTTTATGCGGTTATAGCCGAGTTAACAACACCGCGCCATTCATTACTTCTTTTCGCTGTTTGTCGCCAGTTGGAAATACCAAGTACAGTCAGGTTCTTCTCCACGCTGAACTATGTTTATGTCCACATACATATATCGCATCGTTTCCATGTGCGGATGACCAGAAATCTTTCTCTCGAAAACTTCCAAAGCCGACTAATAAGATATTGTTATCGTCCATGTCTTCGCACCATATGACTGTTTGTTTGATGACAAGAGTTATCCCGCCACGATTATTGATGCCAATGATGTCGAAACATCGGCGTTCACCAGCACTCGTAGAGAAAGTCTTGTAGAATACAGTACTGTCTCTATTCAGCACGCAGCTCGAAGTCTCACTTAA